CTAACTAAATTAGTATTTTTGTGGAAAGGCCTGTTTTACATCTAACCAGCCTTGTGGTCTCACTGAAGTTTTTTTGGGAGTTTCATAACCTGCTCCAAGGCTATGTCTTGATCTTACAATAACCATATCCTTTTCTCTTATACCTTCCTATGTGAAGATTTGAGACCCTATAATTGTTTTATCCCTTAAAGCCAAGCACAGGCAGGTCAAGAACAAGTACCATGTGTTTGAAATCTCTTACAACTGCTATCATCTCATCAAGAGATCAGAGCCTTCTCAGAAGTACAAACACACATGCTACCGTCAAACTTACAGTTGTCATGTATTGTCATAACTTGGGGTTCATAACCTAGTCATAATTTGGCCCTTTGTCAAATGTCAGATACTTAACTATAGGTTATGTAACTTTAACACAAGAGTCTGTACTTACAAAATGGTAAACTGAATTTAGATTTTATTAGCATTTACTTTCACTAATCAACACAAACTACTTCATGCCAAATATATTAGTCTTACACTCAGATAAACAAAACTATTTTCAACATGTCCGACCCAAGTCAATCAGCATGCAGAAATTTTTATACTGTATTACAAGACTGACTGAGTTTGGTTTTACGCCGCTTTTACGAATATTCGAGCAACTTCACGGCTGGGGACACCAGAAATGGGCTCCACACATTGTGCCCATGTGGGGATTCGAACCCGGGTCGACAGTGTGACGAGCCAACTCTTTAACCACTAGGCTACCCCACTGCCCCTGTATTACAAGAGTTACCTCACCTTCTTGCCTACAGCCTTGTCCTTGATCACCACCTCCTTTTCTGCAGGGGGCACCTCCTCTTCCGTGGTCTCGGGGGGAAACTTGGGGGGAAATCCATAGTCTTCCATCTCCCGCTTCAGCTTATCTGCACATGCCTGGTAAACAAAGGCACCTGCTATCACATCACAAATCATGTACAGTGATATCTCCCTAAAACAGAACCTGACTAAACCAGACCTCTGCCAACACAAGTCCAAATTTAGAATGTTAGTTTGTCTTGAAGTAACTCTTACAACAAGCATGTTATATAATGCTGGCCCCTTAAAGATTCTATTACTAATATACCTGTAAACACTTTAGTGGCAACAGATTCAATGTTCAAGGTTTTTCGCTACCCACCTTGATTGGCATGCCAGTACAGTGGAAACCAAATGGAAACAGACATTTCTTCCCAAGCATCCTCTGGTATCCCACAGCAAACTGAAACATGAAAGTGGTGTCACAAATTACATGCATTAAAATAATACTGAAGCTGTAACTTTCCAAAACTATATATAGAGAGTATTTTGTGACATATCATAGTTGGAATGAACAGAGTGCGAAATAGTTTCCAAATTTTGTTAGCCAGTCAGTCTAGCTATGCCTGAAAGTTACTAGACCGAAATTTGAATGTAAAAACTAAGCAAAAGATTACAAAAATAGATGAGAATAAGATATTGTTGGCATGACACGGGTTTCATCATTAAGCAGCTAATATGATGAACATTTTTATCAGGCCATACTCTTGCAAGATTTAAAAGTGTACAATAACTTAAAGAACAAATATACTTTGTTTTTTGGTACTCTTTTAATCATTACATATGAAAGATTTGTGGTTAGTCTTATGCGGAACACCAAATTCATTCTTAAAAAAACTTGTGGTTAATTAATACCGAGCGATTAAAAGTTTCCAAAAAGTCGCCTGCTTCACTTTCGTCCGCCAACAAAACCACAGACAGGTTACATAACTCTGTCGCCAGAGCACTGCAGTGACACCATGTAAGGAAGGATTTTCAGTTAGTTGTATATAAAGCGTGTAGCAAGCTCGCCATTTTGATGATTTCTCGACATCAACGAAGACATGCCGAATCGATGTGTTGTCGTCAATTGCTCTTAGGGGTCGGGCGATGGTGTCACCATGCACAGATTTCCATAGGACTTGTACCCTTGTACTGCATCCATGGTTCAGTCAGGCAATTGTCTCATCTCCCTTTGCTGGCTGAGCCTTCTTACAGTAGCCAATCAGATAGGCCATTACAACTGCGTTTGCCAGTGTCAACAAAGATGGCGGCCGCAGCTGCAAAGGTTTCTTCACTGTGCATGTCAGATTTACTCAGTACTTTAGGCCCCACTTAAAATTAGTACGATTCTAAACAAGCACTAATTCAAAAAGCTATTGTAAGCTCTACATGCTAATATACAGAAGGGTTTAAAGTATGACCAGATATATATCCCACCTCGCATTTGGACAGCGAGAACGTGTGGCCAAGGTGAAGACGGCCATTCATGTACGGGAAGGGGAATGTCACCATGTACTTCTCTTGTCTGAAACAGATTTATTATACATGCTATGTTAGTGTCTAAAATAAACAAAACATTATCAGATTGTACGGTTTGTTTCATCAATATTTGGTATGTTTGTTGTGCGAAGGCCTCACTCAATATCAGGTCTGTTTTGATTTACTCGCATATTCAGTGAATTAAACCCTAATCCTTCATGAATTCATTTCATTATTCGTGGTCTCTTGAAATGCCAGACATTCCAACGAATGACATCATGAGAAATATCACCATCAATCTATGCTAATGGGATACGTTGACAGGGGTCTACTCCCATTTGCGAGAACTCCCAGTTGTGAGACACGCGAGACTCCCAGTTGTGAGACAGTGGAGAAGGTAAGTAGCAAAGAAAATACACCTTACTCCCCTATCTGATAGAATGGATTAACCCCAGCTAATTAGGGATTAGCTATTTAACTGAATCTTGTGGAGGTAGCTTAAAAGATAAAGATAAAGTAATTAACCTACTCAGGTAAATGGCTTTAAAAAATAAACACTTTGTGTAGGTAACTTCGTGATCATTTGAAAGAGAAATTAATTTATCTACTCAGATTTACGTGCTTGAAATATCTAGCAATAACGCAAATCATCAAAATGTGTGAATAAAAACTGATAATGAAGTATTTAATGAACAATTCTTCTGTGTAAAATAATGATAATCTTTTTCAGTATTTCAGTATTTATCTTCTTCTTTATTGAAAACAATAAATGCTCTTCAATGAACAATGTCTTCTGTGTCTCATTAATGAACTATGGCTCCTGCGGGTACTCTTCAGCAACAGGGCTGTTCCCACTTTCATCGTAGGGATTGGGAAGCACCACCTGTGTGCACTGAACCATTAATTAATGTGTCTCACAACTGGGAGTTCTCGCAAATGGGAGGACACCTTGACAGGCATCAACCAAGTCTGCGAATCTGACAAACCAAACCCCTTAAACATTTCTTACATGTATCCTATTATGACAAGCATGGGATGCCAAAGACTAACTGTGACCCTTATATCCACGAACAAAAGCACTACAGATTGTTAAAATAGAATTATAAACCCAACATTTAAACTCACTTTGCCTCTGCTGAGCCACTTGGAGGAGCATCTTCTTCAAAGATTTTCAACTTTTCCCATCTTGCTTGCACTTCTTTCTCTATCTGCTGTAGTTCTGACAATTTGGCAGTACTTTTCCTCTCCATGTTGAGGTGAAGTTAGGTTCAGTACTTTGACTATACTTGGTAAACTGCATCAAGCAAACAATAAGGCAGTTAGGTACAGTGGGGCCTGTAATGACAAATCTCACATCAAGATATATGTTGTCACTGACAGGGTCTTAACACTATCCCTTTATCGAATGTGTGTGTTGTATGAGATGTATTCGAGTATGCTATTTACAAAAATGAAGATACAAAGAGACATGCAAACAGTTCTCCTATATTCCTAGCTGCTAGTACTCTTTATTCGCTCGTCACACTCTTAAGTATTTGCTCGTCATGCTGAAGAACCAGGTTCGATTCCCCACATGGTACAATGTGTGAAGCCCATTTCTGGGGTCCCCTGTCGTGATGTTGCTGGAATATTGCTAAAAGCGGCATGACTCACTCTCTTACATTCAGAGCATTTTCTTGCATGAGCTGGTTATCAGATGAACCTGAACAACATGAACCAGCTTGGTTTTGGTGGTAAGAAATATGGACTCATTTAGGGTACTCATTTATCGCCAGTCACTTTTATGCAAGATGGTTCATACAGTTTCGAAGAACGTACACGTTTCAATGCAACAACAAACAGGTGTGCACTCGTGTGAATTGAGAGCTGCATATATATTTTGAATCTATGATGAATGAGCTTTCAGAAAATACTGAATTTAAGTGTCTGAAAAATATGAACATTGGTGAAATTTGCAGTTAAATATAATCAAATTTGCTTAAATGTTGCACATTTTTGTCAAAGAGTAATTAATGTGTTTTCTATTTTTGGTAAGAGTTCCTCCCGTTCCCCCATCCAAAATAATATGTATAAATATTCTAGAATTATAAACAAAACTTAACACAACATTTACTAGAGAACTCACAAAATGATTAAAAGTCCAAAATTTAAGTTACGGCTAGGTTTAAAGTTAGGTTTAGAGTTTGGGGAATGGAAGGAACTCTTTCCTTACTCTATTGGGAGTACTGCACTTTACACTTTGCAGTTTCCATCACCTTAAATTTACTTACAAAAGTTTAGTTACATACACGGCCGTTTGATCAAGAAAACATAGGAGATGTTACAGGCGACGTACGTGTTAAGACGATCCAAGTACTGCGATCACCGCCTCGTTCAGCTTCAAGCTGTAAACTAACATTAAGCAGTTGAGTTGAGCCGTTGTCAGTGGTAGAAAATTATTTCAATACCTTGCATGAGACTCGTCAACAGTGATGATGAAACATATGGAAAAATCACGCTTCGTCCATGTCCAACCGCTGCCGTAAGTGAAGGCGACTATGTATAGCTCCACTTCATCGCATGCTTTTCATTGCATGTGGTGTTCATAACGACGTTGTCACTGTTTGGAGCTTAGGTACATATGCGCTTTCCGTACACGTGCAATCTCTTATGGATGCTAGTCAAGACAGTCCCTTATTTTATATCTATACGACATAAAACACCATTTATTATATTTCGTTTATCAGAAACCATAGTCACAAACATGAATATTGTTCTGACGTCGCGGTGTCATTTACGACATATTTGTTTTCCTTCAAATGCAGAAGATTCAAGATGTCGGACTTCGACGACAAGAGCGGTGTCGTTGCATGTAAAACGCCATGGGGCGAGTGGTGGCAGACAATCGAAGAAGTGTTTATAGAAGTTGACGTTCCCAAAGACACAAAGTCAAAAGAGATCAAGTGTGAAATTAAGCCAAACTGTATTCGTGTTGTAGTGAAAGAAAAGACGATCATTGATGTTAGTATCACTGATTTTACTACGCTTCAAACATGTAACCTCCATACTCTCTGGCTGACTGACTGAGTTTAGTTTTACTCCGCTTTTAGCAATATTCCAGCAATATCACGGCGGGGGACACCAGAAAAGGGCTTAACACATTGTGCCCATGTGGGGAATCGAACCCGGTCTTCGGCGTGACGAGCCAACGCTTTAACCACTAGCCTACCCCACCGCCCCCCATACTCTCTGGACAATATAACAAATGTAATAGGGGATAGTGATTAGCAATCATGGTTCATGTACTCATTCGTTCGCTACTTGTCTGCAAATCTAAAAACTGAGTAGAGAAGAGAAAATTTGGTGTACACTTTCTAGCCTTCTGTCAATATAGTGTGGCACCAATACAAGTGAGAAATTACTAATACATGATATGGCTAGGCTTTGTTTATATGTTTTTATGGTAAGAGTTCCTCCCGTTCCCCCATCCCAGATAATATTTATAAATATACTAAAATTATTAACAAAACTTAACACAACAATTATCATGGAACCCTCTATTATCGAGGTAGTTAATGTGGTCGCCATCGGGATTATGAACGGCTACTGACATTTAGCATTTTATATATATTTTCACTTGACTGATGTTTATTCTTCATTTCTGTCACAAATAATGTGACAGTCGCAACTCGTTTAATACCATTGCGGCTATTCCGATTGTCTCGTTTGACCTGGAAATTTAAACAACTCTCTATTATCGCGGTATTGCTATTTTCTTACTATGGCGCGCGGTACAAGCAGATGACACTGTGAAACGTTTACTAAGACAAGTAACCAATCTAAATAGTTTGATCATTTGAAAATATTTAGGAATTTTATTCACATTAGTAATATCATCATGTTTTTAACCCAAACATCTGAAACTTCTATTCATTTGGATACAAGGTAACAATAACGTTACAAAATATTGTTTTTCCGGCTTAAAACGTACCAAACAAGTTGCTGCTGTGTGCAGAGTGAAGTTGCATAAATAAGTCACTTCCTGTTATATTTTTAGCACGGAAAATACGCTAATGACCTTATAGTTATCGCAGGATTGCTTTTGATGAAGTAAGTTTTGATTCATGCTAGATGTAATGGCAGTAGGGGTCATGCCAGTTTCAAAATGTTCTAGAACTTACTGAAAAGACGAATGCTTTAATATTTCTCCGATTACACATAACATTCAAATGAAATAGATGACTTTTTCAAGAACGATGAATATATTTTACGTAATTTGCATATGTAAACAGCCGATGCGGGGCGTGGTGTTTCGGCTTTCCCGATGTTTTCGCGTGCCGCGATAATAGAGAGTCCACGATAATAGAGAGTCCCAGTATACTAGAGAGCTCACAAAATGACTAAAAGTCCAAAATTTAAGTTAGGGTTAGGTTTAGAGTTAGGTTTAGGGTTGGGGGAACGGAAGGAACTCTTTCCTTTTTTATGCATTCTGTTCTAAGTCATATAGAACAATTGACCTTCATGGGAACAGGTGACGCAGTTGTGCTAATGGGTCGTCAGAACAGGTACTACAGATATGTACCCCATGTATGTTTCTGTATACAAATATTTCATGATGCACAATACCACTTTCCATCAGCTGAACGGGAACAACTACATACACTTTCTGTTTTTGATTTTGGAATATGAACTCGTTCCCCATGTTGGGTACCGGTATGTTTTGTACTGCATTTTGACTTTGTTTAGGCAGTGTTTAACACTCCCAAAATCCCAAGCTAACCAGCCGGACTGGTAACTTTACAAAATTACCAGTCCGGATACATACTTGCCTGTCCAGTTTTCAACAATGAAATTTTTGTAAAACTCAGGTATCTGAATACTTTACTGTTTGTAGACATCGCAATGAACAACATAGCAGGCAATGCACCGAGTTTAGGTAAACTGAAAGTACATGTGTTGTGATTGGTTATTGTAAAATGAACTGTCCAATCGTAAATAGTTTAACATAATTATCATAATACCTTAAACACCTCAAACTGACGACAAGAAAACCTGTCTGATATTATGAAATATTTACTGTTAGGGGTAAAAACATCTACCAGACCACCGGACAGGCTACTTTTGAAATTTGACTGTCCTAGATGAAAATAGACCGTTCCGGAATTTTAAACACTGGTGTAGGGTACGTGTCTGTATACAGAAACGTACCTGGGATACATATCTGTACTACCTGTGCCGGCAATGACCCTTTCAGCCACAGTTGTCTAAACTGCAGTAATTCGGAACTGAAACACAACAATATTTCTGTCACTGCTGTATCAGTTCCACGTTTCAATCATCACAGAAGATTGTATTCTGGTCATACTTCAAGTATCGGTCAGAGATCATGGTTTCAAGTCAAAGATTCACACATATTCAGTTTCTTGTCTGTAACTTTGTATATGGCTTTCACCAAAATAGTATACCTGAGAAGATCTGGGTTAGAATTGGTCTTCAGCAACCCATGCTTGTCGTAAAAGGCGACTAACATGATTGGGTGGTCAGGCTCGCTGACTTGGTTGAGACATGTCATCGTATCCTAATTGCATAGATAGATGCTCATGCTGTTGATCACTGCATTGTCTGTTCCATACTTGATGTTTTACAGGCCACCACCAAATAGCTAGAATATGCCTGAGTGTGCATAAAACAACCAACCAAACTAGTCATCATTTAAGACCTGAGTATCTTTTGTGTAGCTATAGCATTAAACAGACACACCATGATATTCACTTACCGGTAAGTGCTACAAATTGAAATGATACATTTTGATGTGTTGTAGGGTTGCTTGTTTGAGACTGTAAAAGCTGATGATTCTCTGTGGACTTTGGGTAAGAATATTCATAAATAAGGCCAGACCAATTTTATTTCTTGTTTTACGGATCCGCCGGTTGTATTTTTCCTAAATAAGAAAAAAAAATAAGAGTTAATTTTCTCGAGTTTTATTGGTCAAAAATTTAAATTTACAAGAACAGTTTTTTTTAGATTGTGTTTTTCCCCATATACACTTCATAAATTGCCAAAAGTAAAATACTTGTAGTATTTATTTTTATTTTTATTTTTTTCCCCTCCTGCCTTTAGGTTTTCTGAGTACATAAATCCGTAAAACAACAAATAAAATTAGCCTGGCCTAAATAATTAAATTGCAATTGAAACTGACTATCCAGCCAATACTTTTTGTGTTTAAACCGCTCTGTCTCCATTCTGCCCTATCCAGTGTATCCTATGTATACATGGGTGGATCCAGGAATTTTGAAACCCTGAAACCCCCTCCCCATTGGCTCATAGCAAAAAAAGAAATCTTCAATGTGATCTTAAGTCATTTTCCAAGGGGGGTTCGAACCCCCTGAACCCCCCCTCTGGATCCGCCAATGGTATAGGATTTACACAGTATGCACTATATAAGCGAATACATAGTGAAGTCAGTTTCAAAGTAGCTCACTAACACTAAACATGGCTAGGATGGTTACAACATATTATATTATTGATGTATTATAATATACAGATATGTCGATTCACTATTGTATTTTTAGACTAGTATGTTTTGTACTGTAGATGAAGTCATTCCTCAAGAAACCTAACATATAAATATATAAGTAATTCAGATAAATGATTATATTTTCAAGTTCAACCTACCCAATCTTTTTTCTACTGAAAAAAACAAATAAGAGTAATACTTTGCCCACATTTGTATAACCTTCAGCCCGAATTAGCATATTAGTACTGTATAATGAACAAAAATGTGTTTTGTGCATCATACACAATGATGTTAATGATTGCAGAGGACAGGAAGTTGATGAGGATTTGCCTGCTGAAATGCCACGCGACTGCAGCACACTGTTGGAAGTCCCTCATCCGAGGCCAGGATGAAGTGGACCCAATGACACTGAGTGAGATGGAGAAGAAGCTCACCCTGCAGCGCTTTCAGATGGAGGTGAGAGTGACCGTTAGGGGTGACTATTGAGGGGGAAGCAACTATTGCGATAGCGATAGTCTATTCCAACATACTATTGCGATAGCGATAGTCTATTGCGACCAACCAACTAATGCAATACTGTTGCAACAGTTATTTTCTCCCTGAATTTTCTCATTTGAAGTCATTTCCCAAATGAATGTATAGTTTATGTGAAATAAAAACAAGTTGAAGTAGTTTCATTCTCTTTCAATAACTGACAAGAAACTTGAAACCCAGATCAAGTAAACAGTTAAAACATAAACTCAATGAAGCTGCAAGTCTGCACCCAATCATCCTGTATTTTGCGCTGCGCATTTATAAATGGAAGTCAATTACTAAACTATCGATAGTCTCACATACTATCAATGCATCATCGATATTTTTCGTTTCTACCATCGATTAATTGCTGTCGAAGACTCGATACAGTGCACTCTGTCTAATTCGGACCAGCTTGGGACCGACTAAAAAGTCCGAATTATACAGTAGTCCGAAGTACACAGATTTTAATGGAGTTATCTCCCTATTATCAGCAGAATTAAAATTATAAACTATTTTTCGCAATGTTATTGAAAACAACGATTCTCGGACACCTGCTCCGGCAGCGGGTCCACAATAACATTGTCAAAGAGCAAAATTCATGAAATAAATTGAACAAACTAATGAATGAAATCAAACAACATTCATAAAAGTTGTCAAACGTACATATAAAATTACTATTTCCATCTGTTTGTGCGATCATGTAATGTAAGTCAAGTCACTGACAAGTGACATCTCGGCTCTCGCCGCCTCAATCTTCACGCCGGACACGATGTTCAATGCGAAAATATATACATGAAGCATTTTTGTCACAGGTCATAGCCTAGCACGATAAGTCGAATACGTTCCATCATTTACGTGATAGGTAGCAATTCCTTACTAAATATGTTCAGAATAGCATTATTTTACCCAGAACTTTTGTCTAAATCTAAAAGTTTTCGTTTACGAGGACGGTATCCATTGCCGTAATATGATTGGCTGCCTTAGGTCATGTGTCTGATTTTGACCAATCACGACCCTGATAGCAGACTGTGGCGAAAAAGCGTCATTAGAAACCAATCTTTATCCAATAAAATCGCTTCTTACAACTGATTGATATCACACTGTGTCCAAGCGGACTTCCTGCTCAGTCCGAATTATATAGCAATGTTTTTACATGTAACTACCTTATCGGGCCGACACTTTGGTCCGAAATCCGAAATAATGAGAGTCCGAGATACAGAACTTTTTTATTATGACAACAAAGAAGGATTACGTCGGGACCGTGAGTTCAGTCCTGTTTATACAGCAATCCGAGAAAGACAGAGTCCGAGTTTGACAGAGTGCACTGTAGTTCGATGCATCGTTACAGCCCTAGTTACTCACTGACTGTGCTCACCAGGGCCCTCTTGCCCAAAGCCATCTCTGCTTAAGATGATCATAAGCCAATGTCAAAGCATTGAAGTTTGATCATAGTGCTAAGATAGCATTGTGCAAGTGGATGCTGGATGTAGAAAATGTCACTGCATGGTGACTTTTTATCATGAGTGAGTGAGTGAGTTAGGGTTTTACACCACTTTTAGCAATGTTCCAGCAATATCACGGCAGGGGACACACATTGTACCCATGTGGGGATTAGCACCTGTGCCCTCAGCATGACGAGCGAATGCTTTAACCACTGGGCAACCCCACCACCCCCACACCACCCCTCTTCTTTTCAGCCTCAAAGTACATATGGATTAAGATGGGTCTGACCCCAACATATTTTATATATTACAAACAAAAAGTATGGGAACACCCTAAAATTTGGCAGTCATATATATATTTAAACGTGGTGTGGTCATTTATACACTAAGGTGAATGCAACTTTTGTGTGCTTAGTGGGCACTTTAAACGACATGGGAGGTCTGTCTTCCACATGCACTAGGCTGTTGTGTTTGGACGTTTGAATCAAACATGGTGAGCGTGTGTTTCAGACCCTGGTATTTCGCTGTTTTTGACAATGTTTCATTTCACTCAAACTTACCAAATATTGAAGTAGTTGCTTCACTGCAAGTTCTAACATGTCTTTTATAGTGCCCATTAAGCACACAAAAAGTTGCATATACCTGAGGGTATAAATGACCTCACCTGGTTTAAGTTTATAAATGACTATCAAATTTTAGGGTGTTCCCATACTTTTTGTTTGTAGTACCGGTATATCACTGAACATGTCTTGGTTATACTACAAGTGTAAATATATTCAACAACATTTAGAACAAATTGCATTTAGTTAAATGTTTGTTTTTAAATAACATGACAACTAAACAACACACATTGCTGGGTAGACTTTTTGTATTCACCAAGCACTTGGATACACTCAATACTCTCTTCAACATAAACCTTAAGTCTATCAGAGACCATATTGGTATATGGTCTGTGAGTCTATTGAAAGAAAACTGTTAACACGGTGACTGCCACCACGAGCATACACATAGTTTCAATTCTGGCCGAATTTGCCCCTACGAGTTTTCTCATAGCTACATCAGTGGTATTTTCAAACAAGTTTCACGTGTTGGCAAAATAGGCACAAGAAACAAATGTCTCCTGGCGTGCTGCTTCTTGTGCCGGTTTTGCCAACATGTGAAACTTGTTTTAAAATACCACTGGTGCAGCTACGAGATAACTCTTAGTGGCAAATTCGGCCAGACATTGATACTACGAGTATGCTCGTGGTGGCAGTCAACGTGTTAACCAAGAAATATAGTTTTAAAAAGCCTACTTTGCCAAGTTGGGGAGAGACAGCCCATTTGATATTCTCAACGAATCCATAAGGTCATGAGTGGATTACATTGGAAAGTGAAAGTGTTATGTGTAAAAGTTTCACTATCTTCCACTCAGATGCAATCTTCATGGAATATGTTTCATACAGAAATCTTATTTTATATGTTTCAGAATCCAGGATTTGACTTCAGTGGGGCCGACGTAACAGGCAACTATTCAGGTGGAGGACCTCAGCTGTCTGCATCGTGACACAATGGTTTCATCATAAAGACAGGTGTGACCGTAGCTGTCTGCATCATGACACAAGGGTTTCATCATAAAGACAGGTGTGACTGTAGCTGTCTGCATCATGACACAATGGTTTCATCATAAAGACAGGTGTGACTGTAGCTGTCTGCATCATGACACAATGGTTTCATCATAAAGACAGGTGTGACCGTAGCTGTCTGCATCATGTCACAAGGGTTTCATCATAAAGACAGGTGTGACTGTAGCTGTCTGCATCATGACACAAGGGTTTCATCAAAAGACAGGTGTGACTGTAGCTGTCTGCATCATGGGTTTCATCATAAAGACAGGTGTGACTGTAGCTGTCTGCATCACGACACAAGGGTTTCATCATAAAGACAGGTGTGACTGTAGCTGTCTGCATCATGACACAAGGGTTTCATCATAAAGACAGGTGTGACGGTAGCGGTGTGCATCATGACATAAGGGTGTCATCAAAGAGACAGGTGTGACTGTAGCTGTCTGCATCACGACACAAGGGTTTCATCATAAAGACAGGTGTGACTGTAGCTGTCTGCATCATGACACAAGGGTTTCATCATAAAGACAGGTGTGACGGTAGTGGTGTGCATCATGACATAAGGGTTTCATCAAAGAGACAGGTGTGACTGTATCTGTCTCCATCGTGACACAAGGGTTTCATCAAAGAGACAGATGTGACTGTATCTATCTCCTTCGTGACACAAGGGTTTCATCATGAAGACAGTTGTGACTGTATCTGTCTCCATCATGACACAAGGGTTTCATCAAAAAGACAAGTGTGACTGAAAATGTCTGCATAGTGAACCAGTTTTCATCATAAAGACAGGTTTTCATCAAGAACATAATATATAGATTTCTCACCAGTAACAGTAAAACCAAACTGTCATTTCATCCTCTTGCTGTGTTGGGAGACTGTGCCTCAGGGAGTGCTATTGCTATCAGTGTGTTATTTGAACAGGTTTACTTCATTCAGGCCAGACTACATGTATATTTAGTGAAGCCTTAAGAATGAAGAGAACCCTTTCAACAAATTTGTGTTTTCATGTCAGTATTTTTATATCAAATTATCCATTATGACTGTGTGAATCATATCAAGATAGTCAACCCTTTAAAATCCCCTGTACTTGTTATAGGAATATACATACTAATTTTTACTTTGTCATAAAACTAAGATCATAACCAGTTTTGTTAATGTTTTATTTTATTTGTGGATATGTATGCAAGTGCCAAAAGTATTTCCTCAAGGCTGCGGGCAGTGGGGTAGCCTTGTGGTTAAAGCGTTCGCTTGTCACGCCCAAGGCCCGGGTTCGATTCCCCACATGGGTACAATTTGTGAAACTCTTTTCTGGTGTCCCCTGCCATGATATTGCTGGAATATTGCTAAAAGCGGAGTAAAACCACTGTCAGTCAGTCAGTAAGTCCTCAAGGCTGCTGTTGGAGTGACTCTTCATGCTTCACCCTTTCAAAGTCCCTATGAAGGGTACACAATGTACTTGTTTGTATGGGTAAACTTTTTGGGATACAGGGGTGGAAATAACCCATTGCCCGACATCCCAGTCCAGTGTTTTTTTCTGTCGGGCAAGCAAATTTGTATATCACGCTGTACCGGTGTCCAGTTGACTTTCCAATGTTAATTATGTTGCTTATTTAAAAAATCAACAAGAAAATCGGCCGGTATAGTGGAACAATTATCAGGGAAAGTGATTTTACATGTGCTACTGTACCGGAGTACACTAGCAATTTTAAAGTTATTTCCACCTCTGGGGATAGAACTTAATTTTCATGTGCCAGAAATTTGTTATATTAGCCCATTTTGTTCATATGTCGTCTGCTTCATAATGGCCCCCCAAATACAGAAATATTGATTATTAACTAAGTTTTTTCAAAAATTCTAAAAACAATATAAAACCTGAAAACACTCATCGAAGTGGCAGACCTAGAAAGAAGGACTCTTGGTAAGAACAGCAACTTTTACAGATTGTCAAGAACAAAAGTAGAAGAAAACAATGAGTTGCCTCAGTGATACCTGTGAGATGATTACAAACCCTACATACATCAGCACTACCACTATTTATGTATGATGAGGTGAGTTGGGTATCTCCTGGTATAGGTGACTGAGTTTGGTTTTACGCCGCTTTTAGCAATATTCCAGCAACATCATGGTGCTGGGCACCAGAAATAGGCTTCAGACATTGTACCCATTTTGGGAATCGAACCTGGGTCTTCGGCGTGACAAGCCAAGGCCTTAACCTCTAGGCTACCTCTCCGCTCCCTGGTATAGGTGAACTATGGGGCACCAGCACTCAACTATACACAAAGAACTTAATTAAGTGCCCCCTGTATTTTTGCAATGATAGGTTTTCAACACTTACATAAAACTTCTCGACCATGATGGAAAAACATGAGTTTCTGACCCATGTGATCCTTTGACTGATAGAAAAACAATGAAATGATTGGAATCCATGGTGATTTTATGATGATAATTGCTCATTCTAAAAATACACTGATTTTCATACAAAACCATGTCTGCACAAGTATGGCTCTGGAATGTTTAATGTTGAATTTATTGGTGAATTTGAACATTCAAAATGTCATTTGGGTCTTACACGATTCAAGGTCAGTACCGAGTGTGACTCCAATGTGACTATGACAGCCAGCACACTCCTCCTCATACCCCCTGTCAGCCTCCTGATCCTCTGAAGAGGCAGTCTACACCATACCTCATGTACAGCAGCTTTCAGTGGGACCAGGTACTGTACAGGATCCCTTTATTGCACACAACGACCAATCATGTCCTAGATATGCTCGAAAAGGGTTAAGATCGGGGCTCATTCAATCGTGAGGTGTGTCAGGGGGAGCTTAACTAAGGTCTTTGTGTATGTATTGTGTGGATGAGTATAAGACTTCCCAGTAGAACTAACTTTCATCCACTCATATTGTGCATGATGTGGTAAATAGGGTCTGTCATGCATTAGGCAAGACTATAAACGAACCAGACAGGTGTCTTAAGCGCACAGTTCCTATTGTATGTTTCAGAAACGCTTAAATCATACACTCGCATGTTTATGTAAAAATATATTGGGAAAGGTTTCAAAAGTGTGCTACTTCTGGTTAATCCATTTGATGATTTGCACAAAATATGTTTATCAAATCATGTCATTTCCAGATATTTCATTGGTACAAGTATATTTCTTTTCTATATTGGTACGATGGGGTAGTATAGTTTCTTTCCTATCCCCACATGGGTACAATCGAGCCCATTTCTGGTGTCCCCCTGCCCAGTTGCTGGGATTGATAAAACCAAACTCTCAGTCAGCAGTCCTATATGGACACGCAGTTAGGATTGATCTTCAGCAGCCCATGCTTGTCGTAAGAGGCGACTAAGGGTTCGGGTGGTCAGACTCACTGACTTGGTTGACACATGTCATCGTATACCAATTGCGTAGATCGATGCTCATGCTGTTGATCACTGGATTGTCTGGTCCAGACTCGATTATTTACAGACCGCCGCCATATAGCTGCAATATTGCTGAGTGCGGCGTAAAACAAGAAACAAACAAACAAATATCATCTCACGTTGTTTGCATTAATAATTGTTGGTTTACGTCAAGAGTAGTTTGACCTGACACTCCAGAAAGTTGAGCGTTCCTGTTGACGACAAACGTGCAATTCCTGTCTTGCTCGTACACAAGTAGACGTTATGATCAGTACATTGCCATATCGGAATCAGCTACAAGTGTTCTGTATACAGATATGGCAGATGCGGACCGGCTGTACGTGTGATATGGGGTTTCCGGCCATGTTGATCATAACACAAGAGGTAACGGTCTCGGCGATTCGGTTGATTGCCAGTTATCGCTCCTGCATCGTTGATCAAAATATCATTCACTGGTTCTTATACAAGACGTATTTATAAGCTGCTATCAAATATTGCAGTTCAGAGTCAAAATAGATTTACGTAAATTACGTAAATTTAATGTTACCCCTTACTGTGTACTATAGATACGCCACATTGGTCAATCTTTTATAGGATGGGACGTATCTGCAATATTTCAGCCATAATGCCGCGGTCTGTAAATGATCGAGTCTGGACCAGACAATCCAGTGGTCAACAGCATGAGCATCGATCTATGCAATTGGGATAAGATGACATGTGTCAACCAAGTCAACGAGCCTGACCACCCGATCCCGTTAGTCGCCTTTAACAACAAGCATGAAAGAACCAATTTTAACTCGGATCTTCACGTACGTTCAATGCCGTATCTGCTCAGAGATATGTTTCAAAAGTGTGCAATCGAACAAAGTCCCTATCTGGGCAAGTTTTTCAGTCAGACCGTATTTTTGGGCCGAAGTCACCCTTTGGGTCTTCATGATGTTCCAGCAGGAGATGGAAACGAACAACTCAGGAATTGTTTCATTCCTGCTTTACGCCTCAGTCGGCAAGGGTATAGCGAAATCCGGATAACTGTAAATATTCAAACTTTTGCGAGATAAACCATGGGTTGATATTACGAGGAACACCCAAAATAAGAACCATGTCATCGAGCCTGACCACCCGATCAGTAGAGTGCACGAGATTGCTGGATTATCCATACAAAATTGGTGAAAAGTGGGTCATTATTTTCATGCAAATAGAATAACATCGGATCATTCGTAACTGATCCACAACGATTCCGTTGCTGGACCCATAAAAAGGGTCTATTTTAGATGTTTTATGTGAGTGAGTTTAGTTTTAAGCCTCACTCAGCAATATTCGATCTACATTGTATATGGCGACGGTCTTTAAATAATCGAGTCTGAACCAGGCAAAGCGTGACCTGTGTCAACCAAGTCGGCGAGCCCGACCACCCGATCCCGTTAGTCAGATGGTTTAAAGTACATTTATAATGCGGCAGCACTAGATTCAGTTTGAGTGAGTGATTCACTTAACGCTGCATCAACAAACAACCGTGCTACTGTTAGACAAAGATTTATTTTGAAGGCGAACGTCAAACGTAAAACAGAATATAGAGTCGTGTTTATATCCTGAGTGTTTGTAGCTTGACGTATTAATATGTGAACAATCGTACCGAACCACTATAATTGGCAGATATGGTAAATCCGCAATAACAGCAATGGAGCACCAAACTAAATGTTAGTAATACCATTGATTTGTTTGTTGTTTAACGCCGCACTCAGCAATATTCCAGCCAAAGGTGGCGGTCTGTAAATAATGGAGTCTGGACCAGACAATCCATTGATCAACACAGATCTACTCAACTGGGCTACGATGACATGTGTCAAACAAGTCAGTGAGCCTGACCGCCCGATCTCGTCCTGTTGCTGAAAAACAATTCAAACCCGAAACGTTGCGGGTGTACCATTTCTGAGTGGATGAATAGTGTATGGCGGCAGTTAGGTCACGGTTACCTTAGTCTGGAATCATAAAGTAGTACCTAAAGAATGAGCAACGATCCACAACACCATGAGAACGATAACGCAAGGGGACTGATCACCTGGGCCCTTATTCTCGAAACGTTCTTAGCCTTAAGAATTCTTATTGGGCTTAAGAAGTTCGTAGGTTTACGAACGCCTCGAGAATAGATAGCATGGTTATGTTGGCTTTTGCGACAAGCCCAAAGTACTGAGAAACTGTTCAGGGCTCCGTTCTTCTAAGCGGTCGTAACCCTAAGGTGACCGTAACTCCCATACTTTAACATTGATTTTCAACAGTCGGAGCGCTACGATCGCTTTGTGGAACGAGCTCAAGGCCTGAATCAGACTCCCTACATGGCTAGAGTATGTGTTAAGCAGGAGAAAGACGCGTGAATATCCAGGTCAGAACTGGTCTACATTCAGGTCAGAATTGTTCTGCATTCTCTATGCCCATCAACTGTGGCTGTACATAGTTGAGATAGCTAGCCTCGGTATTGTCAGCATGACTTAAATCTCCATGCAATGTTTGTGGATGACCACTCTGTTTACGTAACGTATGCATCTCCCCTGAACAGTGGGTGTACATGTCAGTCGATTCGTGTGTGTTTTCTGAAGACAGACACATATTTAATTATTGCCTCACCTTACATACAACAATTATCCATGGGGTAAACCTTTCGAAAATGCCATGTGTTGCAAATGAAACCGAGCAAAGTAACAAGATACATGTAAAATACATGTCATATACACATGTTGAAGAATAT